TGATGTAATGGCAGCTGAAAATGAATACGAGAAGAAGTTCGATGATATTATGCGATCTATTTGGATTACTAAGGAGGCAGCGGAAAGTAATATTCAGAATGCGGAGGAAATTGACGATATATATGTCGATGATGTTTTTGGTTTTTTGAAAGACACTTCAACGCCTGCGGGAACTGTGCGCGGCACTGGATTTGGAGTGGTAAGAGTCATTTTATATATTTATTCCTCAAAAACGATATTTGTTATATCTATCTAATATTAATTTCAGACATCAACGGAAAAGCAAACTCCAGATGACGTAATACCGCTTCGACAAGATATACAAGACGAACCATTTGATGCTTTTAACTATAGAAAGTTCGCAGCTACGTATTTCCTAGGAAACACTAGTCATCAATACTCTCGGAAACCGTTGAAAAATTCACTGTTGGATTTGCCTTCACCTATAGACAACGTAGCGGCACAAGCTCTATGGATAACAATACTTAGATTTATGGGAGACTTGGCTGAACCCAAATATGTTGACGACAAAATTGATAATATACCAGTTATGACAAAGCTGACTGATACCATTGGACGAGCATTCCAAAAGAGCAAAGAGTTTGAGGTAAAATTTACATTAGAAATGTATATTAACAGTAGAATACACTTACTTTTAGATTAAATAACATAACTTTCCTTTTATAAATAACCGTCAACTAACAAATAAGATATTAATATACTTTGTCCGATAATAAAGTGACTAATATCAGCCGCTGACACATGTATGTAGCGAAATTATATCTTACAATTATTTCTAGGCCCTCATACAACCTGAAAGAAGCCCTAATAGCAGTAGTAGAATTGTACAAAAATCAATCAAACGACGCGCGAAAATGAACGAAGAATTTATGAGAAATATAATGAACGATGACTCTACCAATGAAATGTATCACGATTGGTTGCATTCAAGGCGGAGCACAAACTTGGAAAAGTTGCATTTTATCATAGGCCACGGTATCATTCGCAAAGAGTTACGGTAAGCGTAATTCCGGAAATTCGTGTAACACATGTATTAAATGATAACCTGATAGTCGATAGTACTATTTTAATACGCTTATCAGATTGATAATTAACTACTAAGGAACTACATGGAGCGCCCAGCCTTGTGCTCCAACTTATCTTTTACCTTGAACCGACAAGGGCGATTCTTCGATTTGGTTCTCAGTGAATTGTATACAAATTTCCTTTTTTAAAATAAGAACCTCTGCATGTAAATATTGGCACATAATTACCGCTTGATCTACATTATGGTTTAAAACGTTTTTTCGATAAGTTTTGAACCAGCTCTAATAAAATGTTTTTATTTTACAGCGATGAAATTTTTTGTCAATTATGTAAACAGCTGACAAATAATCCATCAAAATCTTCTCACGCTCGAGGTTGGATTCTACTTTCGCTATGTGTTGGTTGCTTCCCGCCGTCAGAGAGATTTGTTAAATACTTACGATCGTTTATTCGCGATGGTCCACCGGGCTACGCACCGTATTGTGAAGGAAGGTTAATGAGAACATTTAAAAATGGACCCAGAACGCAACCTCCGAGCTGGCTGGAATTACAAGCGACCAAAACGAAAAAACCAATACTTCTAACAGTAACTCTCATGGACGAGTCTATGAAGACGGTACAGTCTGATTCAGCGACTACTTCAGAAGAAATATGTCAACAAATAGCCGATAATATAGGACTGACGGATGTTTTTGGATTTTCTTTATACATAACTTTGTACGATATCGTGCTATCCCTGGGTAATGAAAACGTTCATATTATGGACGCTGTGTCCCAATGCGAGCAGTTTGCTAAAGAACAGGGTACTCCTGAAAAGAATGCTCCGTGGAGATTGTTTTTCCGCAAGGAGGTATTTACTCCCTGGCACAATCCGGCCGAAGATCCCGTAGCAACTAATCTCATTTACTACCAAGTCGCCAAAGGCGTAAAATTCGGTGAATATCGATGTAATTCTGAGAAAGATTTAGCCATGCTAGCAGCGCAGCAACATTACATTGAACATGGCGATCGAATAGATCCAAACGTACTGAGAAAAGTGATTGTAAATTACATACCTAATCAATTCATTAAATCCAATGATGTGGCTTTAACAAAATGGGAACATCTTGTAACTAAGGCCTTCGAATCTGCTAAAAGTATTCAATCAAAAGTTGATCCATTGCGTTGTAAAGAAGACATAGTGATATACGCGAAATTGAAGTGGCCAATGTTATTCTCAAGATTCTTTGAAGCGATAAAATTAAAAGGAGACTCTATAAACAAGGATATTATCATAATAGCTGTGAATTGGACCGGTATATACATAGTAGATCAGTTAGAGCACATTCTTCTCGAAATGTCTTTTCCGGAGATAACTTACGTCGCGTACAATGATGACGAGGAATACGATAATGTTGGTAGAGTTACCATAAGGACTATACAACAGGAAGAATTTATCTTTCAAAGTGTAGACGCAAGTGAATTGAGTTCACTAATAATATACATTATAGATGGTTTAAAACGACGTTCCACTTACGTTATCGCACAAATGGACTCGCAAGGATACAGTGATGCCGCCTCGTTCTTACAGTACAAAAAAGGTGATCTTATAACACTACTACACGACTGTACTGGAGAAACTTTAATGAATTCAACATGGGGTCACGGTTCTTGTAACAATCAGGAAGGTCTATTCCCTACAGAACAAGTTTATATATTGCCCACGCTTTCTCTGCCATCGGACGTAATTCTAGATACGTTTAAAAAGGGAAATATTAACACAGATAAGAAGCCACTTTCGAAATACAATACTCTTCAAAGGAAGAGGATGCATACTTTGGAAAATTTCGCCAAAGAATATTTTAGAGAAAATACAGATTTTAATACTACAATATCGAAACAATCAACATTGAACACTGCTAAGAAACCACTATTAATCGATTTATGGGCTCATAGCCGTGAAAATTTGAAGAAACCTCTGCTCAAAAAATTGATAGGAGATGAAAAACTTTCTAAGCATGCTCTGACCGCTTTTTATGCGATTCAAAAATATATGGGAGATTTACCAGCAGCGAAACCCAGATCTGCAACTGAATACACTGACGAAATATTCAAAGCAGCATTAAATGAACCGAGTTTACGAGACGAAGTGTACTGTCAAGTAATGAAACAATTGACTAACAATCGAATACAGCTCAGCGAAGAACGAGGCTGGGAGCTGATGTGGCTAGTAACTGGAATATTCGCTTGTGGTCAAATACTGATAAAGGACCTCGTCGAATTTCTGAAGACACGTCCTCACCCTATAGCTAAAGAATGTTTGAAACGGGTATTTAAAACTCAAAAGCACGGACCGAGGATGTATCCGCCTTATGTTATTGAGGTGGAAGCGATACAGCACAGAAGTATGCAAATATATCACAAAGTATACTTCCCAGACGACACTGACGAAGCATTTGAAGTTGATTCCTCGACAAAAGCGAGGGACCTGTGTGAACAAATAACTGGTCGTTTGAATTTAAAAAATAGCGACGGTTTTAGTTTATTCGTTAAAATAGCAGACAAAGTTTTTTCAGTTCCGGAAAACTATTATTTCTTCGACTTTGTTCATGAGCTTGTAGAATGGATGAAGAGGTCACGCCCTGTACGATCAGGTATAGTAGGTTTATGTTCGTTTATGAAAAAAAAAATTCTTAAAGTTCATAATTAATAATAATGTATTTTTTTGTTTCAGCTGGTTCCCAAGTTCAAATGAATTATCAAATATTTTTTATGAAAAAGTTGTGGATTAACACTGTACCAGGAAAGGATAAAAATGCCGATCAAATATTTTACTTTCCTCAAGAATTGCCAAAGTACTTGCGTGGATATCATAAAACATCAAAACAAGATTTAGTGGAACTAGCAGCTCTTATTTATCGCGCTCGATATGGCGATGATCAAACCGGCTTAACACAGATTACTCAAATATTGGAAGACCTAATACCATTGGACATGACAAGAATTCAAACTAACTCACAATGGAAGTCTTCGATAACAGCGGCTTATTTAAAACATGGGAATATGCCTGAAGATGAAGCTAAAGAAAATTTTCTAAAGAAAATTTACCAATTACCAACATTTGGCACTGCTTTTTTTGAAGTAAAACAAACATCCGACCCAACTTATCCAGAAATGGTCGTTATAGGTATCAATAGGAATGGTGTCAGTGTAATCCATCCCCAAAGTCGGGTAAGTATTTAAATACCAAAAGACTCTATAAACCGATAGTAATAATGTAAATCTACATTAAAATTATTTTTACAGGATGTATTAATAACACACCCGTTCTCCCAACTTTCTAACTGGTCATCCGGTAATACCTTCTTCCACATGACAATGGGCAATGTTCTTCGTGGAACGAAAATTCTTTGCGAAACATCGCTGGGTTACAAAATGGATGACCTAATATCATCATACATCGCAGTGCTGAGACAAGCTGTTCGCCAAAAATCGAGGCCTTAGTTATTATTCAAACATTGATATTTTCATTTATCTATTTATTCATATATGATTAAATATTTTCATAGAAACTAGTTGTTTATTATTCGAATCGTGTATTCGTTTATTAATTTGGAAACGACCCTGAAGGTGTAAACTGATAAATATTGAATACCTTATAAAAATGCTTAGATCGAAACGTAACGATAAACGATAATTTAGGCGTGAAATGGAAGCAATTCCGTGTTTCGTCTGATGTGAGTGTGGTGCCGGAGGCCTAATTTAAGTCCCTTTCCCTTTACCACCCTTT